CACCGTGTTCCCGGGGGGGGTGCGGGGTCCCGGAGCCGCCCCGTCCTACCCGCCGCCCCCCCGGTCCCGCAGCAGCTCGGTCACCGCCATGGCGAACCATCTCCGGTTCCTGGGCCGCACCGTCATGGTGCAGAACGGCAACGTGGAGGCGGCCTACGGGGCCCTCAACAGGTGAGGGGCCGGGGCCGGGCGGCTTTGGGGCGCGGGCGGGTCCCCGACGCTTGAGGACGTCACGATGGCGTTAATTAAAACGGGTGTAATTAATCGTTGGCTGGGGTGCTCCCCCGCCAGTCCCCTGTGGCACATCCCTGCGGGCCTCTCGTCCCGTTTTATCCCGTGAATTGGGCTCAGAACGTACGTTTTTAGGGGTTTCTTGTATATTTTTAGAGGCTTTTCCCAGCTTTCCATCCCAACGCCTCCTCGGACGTGGATTTAATTAAAAATACATTAAAAAAAACCCCAAATTAGCACCAAAGCAGGCAGGGATGGGGGCAGCGGTGTTGCTGGGGTGTGGAGGGTTGGCGGCCGGTGACGGCTCCAGCGGAGGAGGAGGAGGAGATGGAGATGATCCCCCCGTCGTGCTGGGACCCGCGGCACCCGCCTCCGTTTCTCCCAGCCTAACGAACCTCCCCGGGCGCTCGCTCCCCTCCTCGTTATCCTCAGCCCGAGCCTGGCGTGCACCGAGTTGTGCCTGGTGTTTGCAGGGGGGGAGATTCCTTTTGTGTCTTTTTGGGGATAAAAAGTGTCATCGGAAGCTGGCTGGACGCCGGGTGCCACCAAAGCTGCTCTGTCCCTGGACAGGGGAGACAAAATATAACGAAAGGCTCCTAGGTCGAGATAAGGGCAGGGAGATCACTCAGCGGTTACCATCACGGGCAAAACGGACTGAAATCAGGGAAATTAATTTAATTTATTGCCCATCAAATCAGAGTAGGGTAATGAGAAATAAAAACTAAATCTTAAAACCCTTTCCCCCCACCCCTCCCCTCTTCCCGGGCTCAGCTTCACTCCCCATTTTTGCTCCCTCCTCCCTGCAGGGGGATGGGGATGGGGGTTGCGGTCAGTTATCACACGCTGCCTCTGCCGCTCCTTCCTCCTCCTCCTCCTCCTCCCCCGCTCCAGCCGGGGGTCCCTCCCGCGGCAGCCAGCCCCTCCACCAGCTCCTCCAGCGCGGGCTTCCCACGGGGTCGCAGCCTCCTCCGGGCGCCCCCCTGCCCCGGTGTGGGGCCCTCTGCGGGCTGCGGGGGGATCTCTGCTCCTCCGTGGGCTGCGGGGGCACAGCCTGCCTCACCACGGTCTTCATCACCTGGGGGCTGCTCCCCCTCCTTCACTGACCTTGGTGGCCGCAGAGTTGTTCCTCTCACATATTCTCACGCCTCTCTCCGGCCGCTGTTTTTTCCAGCAGGTTTTTTTGTTTTCCCCCTTCTTAAATACGTTATCCAGGCTGGGGGGAGCGTTGATCTGCTGGGGGGCGGGGAGGCTCTGCAGAGGGCCCTGGCCAGGCTGGGTCGAGGGGCCCAGGCCACGGGGTGAGGGTCAGCAAGGCTCAGGGCCGGGTCCTGCACTGGGGGCACCACAACCCCAGGCACCGCTGAGGCGTGGGGAGAGCGGCTGGGAGCTGCCCAGCAGGAAAGGACCTGGGGGTGCTGGTCGCCAGCCGCTGAACAGGAGCCAGCAGTGTGCCCAGGTGGCCAAGGGGGCCAATGGCATCCTG